GCTTGGACTAGTCTTGTTGCGCCTATCTATTGGTCTCGTGCCAGCCGCTGAAAACCCTCAAGGTTTCGCGTTTAGGCTTTCGTGCTTTCTCCGCCACTGGGTCGGCGGACTGAGCCGGAGGCTCTTAAGTATCGCAAAGTCGCAAGTTCGTTGCTCAGATCGCTCGCGAAACATTTCTGATGATAAACTAGGCACGGGCCTAGATCAATCACATGCTTGAAGATCTACGATCGCGACAAAACCTGCCTAGCTTAACCCATGTCAACATCATCATGCCATACCTGATCCAACACTTTGCACTGCCTGCGTACAGTCAATGTCTTCCTCCAGATTGTACGGGAAAATGAGCACATTGAAAAAAACAAACTTGATTTGGAGTATCTTACCAAAACGTCCATCCAACAGTCCTCCCCTTCCTCCCTGGCAGGGTAGCAAGAGGCGCTGCAAAATCTGGGTCGCTGTTAGTTCAGGAACTTAAGCTAAGGTACCATAATACTGCGGCGATGTATTGGCATGTAATAGGTTAGTTACAGCGTTTTCTTATCATAGCAGCTTAGCTTACGTGCCTTAATAGCAATCCAGGAATTCTCCTTTGCGAGTCGGAAACTTTGCGCCTTTGACGCAAAGTCTGCGAAGGCAGAGAGCTGCTCAGGGCGACCCCCTGCATGCATCTTGGGGTTTGTAGGGTTTATAGGGAAAAGAAGGTTTAGAGTGTATATAGACAAAACACGGTTTGAAGGGTTCATGGGCTTCTCTTAGTGTTTATTATAGGGTTTAGGCTTTAGGGTTTGGGGGCATCATGGTGAGCTCATCCATGATGGGAAAGGCTTTTGGATTCTTGAAGAGTCTCAGGCTTTTCTTGAAGCGACCAGTCAAATCAGTGTGCTAGAGATAGCCGTACACGGGCTCCGCCTTTCATGTGGCCTGTCACCACGCGGATCTTCGCACCAGAAGGATGCTCTAGATCAGCACCTGTGCAGCAGACTCAGCCGGGCCCGTGAAAACTTCTGTTTCTGCAGTTGAGCCTGCTTTCTTGGAGACACACAGAAATGGAGCCCGAATATGGGCCCCAATATAGCATGTTGATCCTTATTCTAGGGGCTCCTCAACCGGGGCCCCTGATTTATCAAACCCCTGAACGTCCCTAACCCCTAATCCCTATCATATGAATTCCTAGAGACATAACCGCTATCAGCTCCTCTAAAGGGACACCTCATTTCTGAAGACCCTAATACCTATATAACACTCTGAAAACCTGTTTCCATTTCATTGTCCGTATCCTTTTCCGCTTGGTTCTCCATTATTATGCCCTAAACCCTAAGCCCTAAGAAGCCTCTCCCAGGAACCGGCACCCCCTCTGCCTGCCTCCCAAAGCGAAGCCTGACGGAACGCAGATCAGAAATGCTTCTCAACTTGGCTGCAGTTAAAGAACTTGAATAATATGGGCATATGGTAAATAAAGGAGTTTCCTGATTATAGTAACCTAATTCAACTTCCTTAACAGCCACCCAGTCAAGGAAGGACCCAGTAAACATTCGGGGGGTATGTGGGATTAAAAGCATATAAAGGGCTTATCTTTATACATCTCTCATCTCTCTCTATGTGTACACAGATAGAGACGACACTGTACTGTGTACACATATAGATATATAGAAAGATAGGCGTTTAGAGGGTTTATCCTTGCCTAAACCAACATGGAACCCCAAAGCGGGCCTTACAAAGACTAGTGCGAGGCTAGAACTTTGTAGGTCTGCCGCCTTTTTTGGAGTATATCCCCTATAGTCCCTATATAAACCCTATAATCCCTATATAAACCCTATATTCCCTATATAAACTCTGTAATCCGTATAGCTTCCATTTTCTTTTCCATTATTCCCAATAGTGGGTCTTGTATGCGGAGTGTGCACGAGTCATATCCACTTCATGGCTCGGATCTTTATTGGAGCTATCGTCTAAACTTCTTAATGTCCCCTTAATAACCCCTATAACACTCCCCTAAATATCTCCCCTATATACTATATCGGGGAAGTTTCTAGGCGAGTGCTATAGGGGTTATGGCAAACTCCAAATGAGCTAGAGTCTAAACTCCAAAAAGGCGCTATATAGTATAGCTAGCCTTCTTTAGGGAGTTGGGACTCTGGCTCATTTGGAGTTTGGCTTCCTGCACCGGACATGGCGGTCAAGCTCTGAACGGAGAAGCGGCATCTTAACCCCACACACCATAAGGGGGTTTCCCAATATCAGGGGTGCCCTTGAGGGGCACATAGGGGTTATACAGGGGTATATATGTGTTGCGCTAGAAAGCGAGTTGCAAGGGGCCAAAAAAGAAGTTAAGGGCATTCTGGGCATTCGTTAGCTATCATTTTCGAGCCGAACCGGCCCGGAACAAGGCTGTAAAGGTCCGGGCCAAGACGATGTTTTCAGTAAGGGCAATGCATTCCAGGATTTTCAAGCCGAACCGGCTCCGGAACAAGGGTTAAGCGGCTCGAAGGACTGTTTAAGGGCATTGTGGGCATTCATTGTACTACAGAACGAGCATGTTCGAGTCGAACCGGCTCAAAAGGAGGAAGGAGGTTTTAAGGGCACTGTGTTGCGGGTCCGGAACAAGGTTTTCAGGTAGGTTCTGGTTTAGGGTCTTGGGTTTCCAAAAATTTGGGGTACCTTTTTGGGGATCCCATAACATCGATGCATGAGAGTAGTTGCTCCCTGCCTTTTGCTGCGACTATCCATGCCTATAGCACCCCTATCCCTGGCATTGATGTTAGCCTTGTCGCTTTCTCTGTTCTTCTTCCCCTCCTTCTACTTGAAGGACCATGGGCTCATAGCTTGCAGCCCTGACCGCTGAGCTAATGGGCGCCTTGATAGTCAGCAACCTTCCATTGAGGTGGAGCGCTGAAGGCACTGGTCTTCACTGCGATCAGCAGACCTTGCAGACCCCGGATCCAAAATTGGCAATTGGCTTGGCTTGCCACGGCTAAGGAACTGAAGCCTTGCTTTGAATCACTTCTGGTCAAACATCTGTCTCTTCGTCTACAGTACAGACTGCGCAGTGAACACGATGCCCGAGGGGCCATCCGGCGGTCTCCTTGCGTGCTTGAAGAATTTGGCCTGGTACTCGCTGCCCAGGTCCTTCTGGCTAAAAGTTGTTCAGCCCGTTTGCAGATTTGAGAGTTTCTGGTACAAAGCTACTTCCAGAATACTAAGCCAGCCATGTCTGTCATTCTTCATATGATCATGACTATCTCTGTGTGAGCACCAGTGATTCTGGTAGTCTCATTTTGGCGTCTCAGAACGTTATAGGTCGGATCGCGCAGCGCATGAAGCCGAAATACCCTTTCCAGCTTTGCTTCGCAAATGTTAAAGCCTCAAACTCTTGCAAAGATCTGCAGGAATGACTGAAAGCTTTGTGCATGGTAGAATGTTGAAACTTATGAGCCTGAGGGTTCTTTGTAAAAATGCAAGCCCTTTTGTGCAGTGCATATTAGAGTTCAAGGCAGTCGCATCCACACAATGCACCTCAGCATGCGCCGAAATCATTGCGTGATTGCAACCTGTCTTATTTGCTTCTGAGGCACTGCAACAATCCTTGGTAGCGCACGTGAAGGAGTCGCATTCAGACCGAAATACACATTGCTTCAGTAGGTTTCTGTTTATTGGTGCTGTTGGCTCTGGGCCCCAGGATCGCAATTTGGTCACCAGGCAGTCTGCGCCGCTTAGACGAGCCAGGAAAATGCCCATGTCGGGCTCCAACGTATTAGCCACTTGGACTTGAACAAACTCAAATCCCTAGTGGTTTCCATTTTCTTTTCCATTATCCCTATATAACCCCTATATACTATAGTAGTTTCCATGTTCTTTTCCATGATCCCAACCCCAATTATTGGAGATGCAGGCTCAGAGCTGCTTGCTTCAGAAGGGATCAGGCGTTGTGGTTGCATGCGGGTGGATGAGGATAATGATGACAGGAATCACCCGCCATTAGCTCTACTAGCAATAATCTGAAGTTACAAGTACCCCAACTTGTGAAACTACTCATACTGGGAGTTTGAAATCTTTCAGCTTCAGCATGGAGTGCAGACAGGGCGCGAATCCAGAACTCTTGTTTCTACTTCTTGCAGGCAGAGCACCTCAGTGAAAAGATGCACTGTACACTGTACACTGTACACTTGATTGTACTAAAAGACAGATGGATTTCACTGGGATTGTACAGAAACTGTGTTGAGATGTCTGGAATGTTGTGAAACAGACATTCCTCTTAGAAGGCTCACCAAACTAAACTCAAGGAAGGTCCAGCCGAAGACTACATGAGATCCTGGCGCTGAGGTAATTACCTGATGTACCATGAATCCTTTGCACTGGCTGAAAGTTTCCGATTTGTTGTTGAATACGCCAAGATTCATCAAACTGGCTCTTCCGCAAGATCTCCTGAGCTGGGAGGCCATGGGATTGGCTGCTTTCGTATTCGTTCCTCTGAACTGCAGGCCCACGTCAGCTGGCCCCACCGCACTCAGCACACTGTGGACGGTTCTGGCAAGCATCCTGCATCACCGGCCATCTTTGCGACCTGGTGGCTGAGATTTGTGGGAAGTTTCCAGGAAAACAATGGCCGCTGCTCTGGTTGACTGGTTTTAATAAGTGCTTGAGGAACTTCAAGACTACCAAGAGTCCACCGTGGCAGCGACTCCCCGTAATTGGGTGGATTGGAAGCCATCAGATTGACAACCGCCGGGTGACTACCGCATCTGGACCCCACCTTTGCTTGACTGTTCAATTTATCACTAGGTGGAGTCTGGGGGATCTCATCAGAGTCTTTCTTAACTGCTATCTATCAAAACAAGAGTCATCTAAAATCCTGAAGCCCAGAGTGAAGAGATTCATCCAAGGAGTGCGTAAAAACAGTAATGCTTGGTCCCAGATTCATGATCTGGGAGATAATTCTAGCGCGCATGAATATGCTGCAAGCGATAATATGGGCCCTAGAAAAGAGCAACTCTTCCAAGCATGCCTGATTAGCGCGCCAGCATGGAAGCAACGACGGATGCAACTAGCGCAGGGAACAAGCCTGAGCAATGGGCCAGTTATCACTGCCGTCCGCTGAAAGCCCCTGCTGCTCCTGGAGGTTTGCTAAGGCTAAGCGCAAGGAGCCAAAGTATTTCCAGAGATATCCAGATGGATACACGTGTTGTCGCGCGGTGTGATTGCGTTCAAGCAGGATCTGAAGAAAGGCAGGAGCCGTCCTTCCACTTGACAGCATAGGTTGGGCACAGCCTCACGAGCGCCAAACTGCTAGATGCAGGCCACCAAAAGCAGCGTCTGTAGTTACAATCTCTGATGGTCCAGAATGCTGCACAAAGTGTCGCAAACCCTGACACTGACAGGACACGTTGGACTCGGGCCCCTGCAGGTTGTATGTACCTCAGGGCATCACAGTGTCGCGTGCATCTGTGCCGAGTTCGGGACAGCCATTGTTGTTGTGGCCAGGAGTTTGCAGCTGCCGTTCAGGTTAAGGCTGCGCACCAGGTTTCGTCTCAGGCGTAATCATTGTAATGTTGCTTGAAGCATGGCCCTTCTCTGTCACACTGATCTAAAATTTGCAAGCCAAGCGGCAAACTGAAAATGAAGGTTGTGACTCGCAGTCCATCACCCGCCTGTGCCTGCGACCAACACCATGCCTGTGCTTGCGCTTATCTCGAGAAAACTTTGCAGCTAGTTCTGCCTCTCATGCTGTCATTCACAGCTTTGCAGTGCACTGTATCGCCGACAACTTCAAGGAAACTGCGACGGCTGCTTTGCAAAACCGAATACTTGGCAAGTGGCCAACTTGCTACAGTCCACGAACACAGATGCATGTGCCCACAACAAACGGCACCCTCCTTAGCACACCAGCATGACTGCACCTCATGTACGGCAAACGGATGC